GGAAGGGTAGGCTTTCTCGAAATCACGCTTCAACTGTAAAGTGGTTTCTGTGGAAAGTTTGGGAGGAAAGGTCTCTGCCCAAGATGAGTGCAAAGTACTCGCCGAGGTATCTGAGGCCACCGACGGCAAAGTACAGATCTTGTGGGCCTGCACCCACAGCATCCTGAGAACAGGGAGCTCATCAGCATCAGGTGACCAGCCTTTGGATGCCAGTAAAGCATCGAGACCTTCCAGGTTCACAGTGCCAAGGCCAAACGAAAGCAGTGTGGAGTCTCCGAGAGATGCAGCTGACACCGGAATGGAAAGCTGCAAAGCTGTGGCCAACTGCTGCACCGTAGATCTCGAGGATAAAGAATCCATGACCTGACAATCGCACGGGTGGCAGAAGTTATGCATGACCATGTCGCAAAAGTGCATCAGAGCAAGCCGAATCTTTTCTCGCGAAGCAAAGTAGGTCGATGACGCGTGCTGCTGGGTCCCAGACGCAAAGAAAAGAGGCCGGAGGCCCGTGCAAAGCTGAGCAAAGCGTACATAAAAGAAGCATAACGCTAGAGTAAAGTAGCAGCTGTGGGAACCCAGCATTGACGCAATTAAGGACTTTACAGCCAGAAAAAGCACCATGGAGGACGCGTCTGGCGGTAAAGTATGAGGCTACTGCCCATACGCATTGCAAAAAGTATTGCGCCCCTGACGTCGACGGTATTCTCCATAACAGAGTCTGCAACGATGGACGTGAGGATGACGAGGGTCTAGCAAAGTAGCACCGCACGTTCCTGCTCCTGAGCAGTTGGTGCAGCCTTCGCGGCACCAAAATACCGTTGCCCGTTGAATCAACTGGGTCTCACCCCACGCAGTTCGGAACACACGCTGGTTGTGCGGTAAAGGTCGGGTTCCATCACCGTCCGTTCGCTCTGAGCTTTGCGGCAAAGAACTACCGCCCTGTGCTGGGGTAGTCCCCGAAGTAGCCGACGATCGTAAAGGAGGGGACGACTCGGTAGAGGTCGCGGAAGGTAAAGGATCCGGCTGGGTATCCGCGGTGGAGCCAGCTGCACCATCTGGAGGCTGGTGCAAAGTATCCGAACTTCCGTGGGATGCCCGCAAAGAAAGCCAAAACTCCAGCCACTGCTGTCTATCGTACCCCATCCAATCTTCAAAGAATGCCGTAGCCTGCCACAACTCTGCCTCCGTAAGCTGCGAAAAGTTCCACGGCACATAGTTGAAGTCCTCCGCCTCCTCCGTGGTAGGTGTAGGCAAAGAAGAGGGCGGCTCATCAGTGGAAAGCACCTCAGCTGCCGGCGGTGTGGCGGGTGGATCCGCATCCACGGTGCACGGCAAAGTTTCGCCCGGACCTTCGGAAGTCGTCTGCAAAGTAGTAGAATCCATTTCACTGGGAACCAGGGCTCCGAGGAGGCCCAAGTTTCTTCCTCCCAGGAAGGCGCCGGTGTCGGGACCCAGTCCTCTGTTCCCCATTCGTGGTAAGGAACTTCTGAGGCTGGCAAAGCAGATGAGGGAACCTCTGTTGCTGTATGCAAAGTAGAGGCATCCTCTGTCGTAGCCCCATCAAGTTCATCCGAGGGTGCTGGCTCCGCCGTGGTAGGAGAAGGCAAAGTAGAACCACACTCCTGGGTCGGAGCATCCACTCGATCTGGCAAAGCTGAACGCCAGAAGCTGAACCACTCCTCACGGGAATAACCTTCCCGCCCTGCAAAATGCTCCGAGGCATCCCAGAGATCCCAAGCCGAGAGCTCCGAAAAGTTCTCCGGGAAGTAGTCACTCTGTGCCATGACGCAAAGTAAAGCGGAGGGTTGCGAAGGGACGCGCGCAAAGTCTCGGGCAAAGCTCTGCGCGGCAACACGAAGCTTCGCATGAGAGCAAAGTTCTGCATACGAACGTAAGCTGCACAAGCCAGACATGTGCAAAACATGAAGCAAAGCTGCACGCAGAAGCATGTACCTCTCGACCATGACGAACGCGAAAAGCATAGTAAAGCTTGGCCCGTAACGTAGGGAATTTGAAGCGAATTTGAAAGAATTTGAATGGAATTTGAAGCGAATTTGAGTTATCGTTCAAAGATCGTGCTTTGTGTTTTGATGTCAATCGTGTTTGAACCTTCAGGGATGAATGCTTGCACTCACACATGTCACATGCAAGAAGTTCAAAGCTCGACGCTATTTTCACACGGTGGGGTAGCAAGTACCGCACACGGCAGATATCTTCGAACTGTCGGTCCTGTGAGACACAAGACTCTTTTCGTCCCCTGAGACACAAGACTCTTTTCGTCCCCCCGGAAGGAGAACTAGCCACTCTCAAGCCGTGCACGGCTCACAAACTGAACCTTAGTGAACGGCCTGCCAGTCCAAGACGAGCAAGGCCGAGCAGACTGCGAAGCAAAGGGCCAAGACCCGAACCAGGTCTTATGCACAAAGTATACCTGAGTGTCCTCAAACTGAGGTCCAAAGCTTCCTGAAGCAGCACAACACTGATGCAATCTCTGCACTTTCCACGAATCAATTAGGGTGGAGAGGGTGGGTATTTCAAATAAAACTCTCGCCCGATTCAGGGCTTCCTGCCCCTTCGAGAGGTCAAGCTGCAACGGATGATTCTTCAACTGGTTTACAGCATGTATAAATGAGGGTTCATGAAACGGCAGTGTAAAAGAAAAGCCCTAAAACAACAAATCAAAATTGGACTCAGTTCTCTGAGTCATTTTGTCATGTTGTTTTTCTTCGAACGATAAAGCCATATCTTCTGCAAGTGTTCAAAGAATGTAACTTATCGTTCAAAGATCGTGCTTTGTGTTTTGATGTCAATCGTGTTTGAACCTTCAGGGATGAATGCTTGCACTCACACATGTCACATGCAAGAAGTTCAAAGCTCGACGCTATTTTCACACGGTGGGGTAGCAAGTACCGCACACGGCAGATATCTTCGAACTGTCGGTCCTGTGAGACACAAGACTCTTTTCGTCCCCACTTCCTGGAGTCGCAGTGTTAAGCAGGCAGATTCGAAAATCTCTTCACAATCGATAACACCACTTTGGTTGCCTCGACGGACTCGTCCTTGAATCCTAACTTCCTGACTCTATCAAGTTTCATCCTTGAGGGTTCGTCAGCCAAATTGGCTGGTGATGCCACTCTCGCATACCACGGCAAGATGCCGTGGACATACTCAAGAAAATTGACCTCATCGATAAGAATCCCCGCGACCCCTTTCTTCGAAGAGCCGGCGATGTATGCGTGTCTCGCAGCATCATTATCGATATAACAAATCACTCCCGTTCCAGCCACAGCACCTGGCTGTTCGTAGGATTCTGCGAAAGCAGCCGTCTTCTCGACTAAGAGCTTGAGACCGATCAAGACTCCAAACATTTCAAGCTCATATATGATCGTATGCTCATCTTGCAACGACATAGACTTGGCTTGCTGCTCTGAGATCGGCACGCTGAAGAAAGAGAGTGCCGAACCTGCCCCGGTCAGAAGGACTCCCCCAAGGCCTCCGGTTCCTGATTCCGTCTCAAACGCCGCATCAGTAAGGATCATAAAAGTCCTGCATGAAACTTGTCCCACTAGCCTCGGTTGGGCCATATCAAGGAACTTACCAAACTCTTCAAGTCGTTCCTTGGCCATCGACGAAAGCTTTGACCTGCCAGTGTAGGCATGCTTTGTCACCTCCGTCAGGCACCTTCTTCCCAGCCTACCGAAAAACTGGGCTTGAGCGAACTGCAGCCTACCCCGCAGTTGTAGAGCTTCCTTCTGAGTCATGGTTCCCTTGTCCAGGAAGCCTTTGATCGCAGCAGTGAGTTCCTTGCGTCGTTTCTCAGTGTTCCTGACCTTCAGAACCCCGGACCCCGTCTGGTCAAGCTCGAAAAGAACGCCAAGGGCCTCGAAGCTAGTGTTCCACTCCGTTGTCTTATCAGCTGACAGCTTCCAACCTAACAGCTTCATAATTTCATCGAAAGCGTGTGAACACGAACTCCTATCTCCTCCAAGAGCAAGCAGAACGAAGTCGTCGAAATAATTCGTGGTTGGGATTTTGGCCCCTTTGACCAAGATAGTCCAAAGAGCCCTCGCCACTCTGAGGAAAAAAATACACGGCCTTAGTGGAGCCGAAGGGCACAGCTAGTTGTTGGAACAACTTGGGCTTCTCCTCTGCCGGGTCGTAGACCGAGAGGTAAGAAAAATCTAAGCTTGTATCAGATACCGCCAATTGTCTGTAAGCCCCCTTCAGATCCGCCGTTTTCCCGAACAATGCGTTCAGGTTCTTCTTTCGAGCAGCACTCGAGAGTGTATTTATCAACATAGCAATTTCGTCGATAGAGTGCGTGATGGGCTTTTCAGAGACTGTGACCGTATCGTTAATCAAACTCGAGGAGTAGTTGTCAATAGGTCGCAGCTTCTCCCCTTGCAGTAGCGGAAAACGGGAGCTGACCAAACATCGTTTCGGCAATGACTCGAAATCATAAGGTCTCGAGAGGTACCCACTCTGCACCTCTTCCATCGTCTTGTCCCACAACAGCTGGTCAATTTCCTTATCACCCGATGACCCAGTCTTCGTCCGGATCTGCTGTTTGATTTCATCAGACATCCCCAAAAGTTGTTCGGTATCCAACCTAGCAGGCTTGAGCTTGGTATCCAGCACCCCCGTGATAGGAATGTCTCCCGTCAGCGTGGCTCCGTCGATGAGTTCCTGAACCACACCCATATCATCATACCCAATGTCTCGCAGCATCTCTTCGAACAGCAAGATACGTTTGGGTTGAAGGATCTTCCTTCTGTGATCCGACATGCCAGTTTTCAGCTTGGCTTCCTCTGGCTCCAACACTTTGGCTCTTCTGGCCCACTTCTCTATGTAATTCTTCCTCTGAGAACGAACCATTCCCGGTTTGTGTACTAGGTCATGAACGAGGTCTCTCAAATCCTTGTTGCACTTGGATAACTTATGATATGGGTGTCCAATCTTACCTGCTTTGGCGATAAATTCGATAGGATCCCATGGGATGCCCACTCGCAAAACTGAGGCTCCATTCAAGTTTTGCATTTCCTGCTGGAGTTGCGGGCTCAATTGCCCCGCTGACTGAGTACGCGACAGAAGCTGGGAATCCTGCGGGAGCGCCCCAAGCTCCGGCAGCACACGGGCGCCTTGCGGGACCCGCCATTCCTGTTTAAGGCGCTTCGACCCGCCAAACGGATCCTCAACCGGCGGTGGCAGAAGGACATAGACCACCAACTTCCACTCAGACACCACTTCCGGCATCGCCCCACGTGGCTGATTCATAGCCGAAACTCGCAGCGACTTGTTGGTCAAGGCCGGGCTACGGCACGGCAGCTGTCGCTGAGTCAAACCTGCAATGAAAACCTCAGCTACCGCCGTGGCAAAAGCCGGCGGGTAGCCTGTCTGCGCCTCCGAGCGCTGGTGCACCTTATGTCCCAGCGGAGCCGACTCCCTGCGCACAGTGAGGACTTCAGGCATATTAGACAACACGAAGCTGCGCTGTTTGCTATGTGGGTCCCAATACCGCCAATCAACCTCCACCTGATGCGGAGGGTGCTGTGCTGATGGTAAGCGATTCAAACTCTCCCAAAATGGAGAGGACACCGAACCCTCAAGAATCATGGGCAGGTTGTTGCTTAAGCAGCCAGCCATCACGGCCAGAATGAACGCTGTAGTGACAGGCTCCGAGGCATGCTTAGGAATGCATATCATAACACCCGCAATCTTCCGTTTGTCAAGCCAGGTTAGGACAGAGTCACAAGCCTCCCGCGTCGACAAGTCCATCTGAAGCACTGGGGCCATAGCCGCCTTCTGCTTGAATCGGTCCACTCCGTAGGAAAAATAGCCCTGCTTAATCAAAGCTGAAGCCACACGAGCTTGGCCTGCAAAACACTGCAAAATGGCCCGGCTTGGCTCCTGACTCTGAGGGGCCGGAGAATTGTCCTGTGATGCCACGAGAGGTGAGGGGAGCGCCCCCTCGCTCCCTGCGTGCTCCAAGGAAAATGACTCAGACGAAGCACTCGGCATCGTAGGGGCATCCAAAACTGTAGGTTCGACCAAAATCGGAGAATCGTCGACATCCACCATCTTAGAAGCAGGGTCCACTCCCACTCCAAAAGGTGGCGAAGCCGGGGCCGCGACATCAGCTACAGAGATACCACCTGAAACGGGTTCTTCCGAAGATGCCATCTCCACGTCCGACGCCAAAGCGACGGGGCAAGGCGGGGGATCCGCTAGTCACAGCTTCTTGGGCTTCAAAGGACACTTACCCACCGGGTGGTCACCGCCGCATTTGAAGATGCAGCAAGTATGATCGCCCTTTTGGCAGTTTGCATCCGAACAAGTCCCGAGGTTGAAGCCGTAACAGACCTTGTTGCCTTTATGATTCCATGCAGAGGCTCCCTGGAAGCGAAGTCCCTCAGGTAACCATTCCGGCTTGCCGGCCCCCGAGCCTTTGCCCTTGTGCGACTTGCCCTTAGCTTGCCAGGTGTTCTTGCCTTTCCCTGTCCAATTATCAGAGCCTTTGGAGTGCCAATCGCCCTTACCTTTGCCATTCTTCCCCTTCCAGGGCGCAGTATCTCCGTAAGGGCCAGGACGACCGCCTCGGCCATTAGCATTCTTGCCCTTACCGTCCAAGTCGCCCATAGGTAGAAGGGCTACAATTAGGTCGTAATCATGAAGAATAGCCCCGATCGCTGCATCAAGTGGGAGAGTGCCTGAGGCGTCTGCCCGGATGTCTTCACCTGCCTCCGACAACTTGGAAAAGGCAAGCTTGTCAGCCCGCAGAATCTAACGAAGAGACACTTTCCTGTAACCAGGCTGAGCGGGTTTGGTCAGATACCTGAACAAAGAGGCGATGTAAGCCTCATGCTTCTCCCAACTGATCAATCGAGCAAATGCATAAGCCACTCCTCTGCGACGCAGGGCATTAAGGACCTGCAAAGAGCCCTCAATATCACGATCGTCCATACCAGCAGCCTCCGTAACCTTCAACTTACCGCCTTCCAAGGACAGACTGGTGGTCAAGGGCTTGACGTTCTGAACCTCATCCTCACGGCTATGGCACTTCTCTGGACCGATGTACTTCAAGCACCGACTCTCCCACTGCTGAACGGCCATGTCAAGCAACGCATGACTCGGCTCAAGCTGTCCAGTGAGCGAAACTCCTGAGAGCTGAGTCCGAAGCTGATCCATGCGAGCATTACGCTCGGCGACCCCCACCTTTTTAGGGGAGGCGTGTTCCGCAGGTTCTGCCAGATCCTTCAAGGAAGCCACTAGCATGGTCTGAGCTTCCAGTATCAAGCGCCTCAGAGACGCCTTCTCGCCCACTGTGATGCCTACCAACATGGCCTCGCTCCACGTGTCAAACTCAGTTTGAGATAGCACCTGTCCCGGTTGTCCGACACAAAAAGCCAACTGGGCCAAAGTGGTGACCCCTTTACCTTTCAGGGCATCCACGACTCGCTTGGCAAGCGAGATTTCATCCGCTCGCTGCACAAAGAAAGGCGCAGAATCTACGGAACTCGTCATGGTTAAAACACCTGCAGCCGAAAGCACTGGCGAAAACGAAGCTCACACACTGTACACGCGCACTATACTAGCACAGCTGGCACCTTTTCGAGCACGCAGAAATCAAACTGCGCTCTGGGGGAAACACTTGGCACATTGTGGGTGCGCTTGCGCCCGGGCCATAGGGATGCGCCGATAATGATCACCAAAAGCTCGGCCACACAAGAACATTGGCGACCCCACAGTCGTGCGATGCAGAACCTGGCTCGTCGGGTGAGCCCAGAAAGATTGTTCCTCCGGGGCCTCTTCATCAGAGTCCGAAACATCAGAAACTACAGCCAAAGCATCATCCTGGTCGTCCTCCACAGCCGCCTGTAAGACTTCCGAGTCCTGTGGAAAAGCAGCCGCCTGCAGGACAGATTCCCGAGTCCAACCTGATGCGAAATGACCTGAACGGGTCTGGTCCGGCAGGAACTTGCCAGTCGCGACTGCATCCAGCACGACAACATACTCACGCAGTGCCGCACTCTGCAATTCGCGTCCATAAACTGCATCGCTGCCAGTCGCAGCGTCCGCGTGATGGCCTAGAACTCGCTTGGTCTCGCGAAGCATCCCGAATTTGCTACACCAAACAAGTGAGGTAACCTTCAACGAGTGCGAACTCACAGCCTGTTCCGACGATGGACGTGGCAGTAAAAACCTCAGCCACCTGGTAATTTCGCTGCTAGACAGCGGGTCGGAGGACCAAGACCCATCCGGCAGAGGCGCCGGCAAAAATGGGACATCCGCCTGATCATTCGGCAAACCGGCCTCAGCCCTAATGTCCAGGAGGAGCTGACCAAAAGGTGTTTTAGCAATACCCTGGCCAGGAATCACCAGAGGCAGTATACGACGTCGCTGGGTGTCCAGCCGAGACGTCTTATGCTCGAGCGTACCTAACTCAATGAAACCCGAGCTCCAATCCTCGTTGTGCACATCTATCAAGATACTCTTGACGCACCGAATGTCCGATGCTCTTGCCCTCGCATAGAGCATAGCAAGGAAATGCGCCGCCCCGCATCTATCAATGACAGAAATAGAGGGATCGCAACAGATCGCGTGTAGTTGGAGAACTTCTGATACTTTGAGGGGCGTCGCCGGGCACCAAGGGTTTTTAGTCTGTAACGCCTTCTTCACCACACCATGAATTCGAGGGCTGCTGAAAACCTCTAGTTGTACACGTAGTCCCAATGTATAATAGCTCCACTTGATAGCACGCAGACTACTGTCCAGTGTGGTGGCCGCAGTCTTGGGCATCTTGAGGACACAATGGATGAAAGACCATAAAGTTTTTTTTCGCAAAAGGCGGAGTGTGGCTGGCTTTCAAAAGCCACTCACAAAAGGTACGAACCGGACCCACATGTTTCAAAATGGTATTCGGTGATTTCCCCGCCAAAACTGCCTGAACAGAATCCTGGCCGTCCTCCTCGTCATCAGCCATCAAGGTGCACAAATCGAAGAAGCTCGAGAAAGCATGCAGTAATGTGAGGACCCGGCGGTACGCCTCTTCGCGACGATCCGCGGCCCTAGGCCCTCGTTTTGCCTTGACTGCACGAGTCCATGCCTGACAATGAGAACCACTCGTCACAGACGGTCCTGAATCCGAAGGCTGTGCTGTCGTCTGAGGATCAGGCGACGAACCAACCAGTCCCTGATAAGGCAGGTTCAAGCCCTGAGGGAAAGCCGCCTTCAACGGATCAAATATGCACAGCATAGCCGGCTGTTCCCAAGGTTGCCGTGGCAACGACGACCGAGCATGGGTTATGCTTCGCATGAACACTTCATTCTCACTCGCTCTAGGGTCGCGGCCAGACATCGCAAGAACTCTGGCAGGGACTCCGCCCCACCAAAACGGTCAAAACTTGAACCGACCAGCGCATGATCAACTACTGTGGGATCAGTGTCTGGTACCTGCCATGGCTTCAAGGCCCCACTTTCATTGCAATAACAAACAACCAAAAGCGAGCACGAACTACTCAAACCGGTCTCGGTTGTTTTTCCATTCAGGAAGATTCTGGTGCTCAGGTCAGCTCGCGGCCAGGTCCCTAAAAGGGGTAGGTGATGGCCACACCCAGGATATAGGTCAGGTCAGACCTAGCCACTGCCGAATCCGGCCCCACAGCCAGTCCTGCATCTCGGCTAGAAATCTGCAATTGTTCGCCAGTTCCGGCGTCCAACTTGACATGGTTCTCCGGGGTCCTGACCTCACAAAGGATGGTCGAGGGCTGTTGGCCTTTGCTGATCGAGCGGCTCCTCTTCAAAATGGTCCTCAAAGTACTGCAATCGGGGTTCATCGTGAGGTGGCCCGGTGAAGCCACCCCAAAAGGGCCTACGGTAGGAGTGGAGCCCTTCTTGAAGTTTTGGGGACGAATGATCCGCTCCCTCAGGATCAGAGGAAGTGCATGCTGCGAGGTCCCATGTGCAAAGGAATAATGATGCGTCTCGGACTCCAGGAGCTCGCGATGCATGGTTGATTGGAGAGGGGCATCCGTGCCCTGCTCCACCACAGGGATCACCAAATGACCCCAGCCTTCTCCCCTGATCTGGAAAATCGCAGGGATTCCATCAACGGTGGGGCATACCACCTCCGCTTGCAGCATAGCGCGAACCACCGCTTCTAGCATGCTTCGAGGAACCTGAAAGGAAAGGAGGACCTCATCGGCAATCCGAGCAATCTCATGCTCATCAGGGGAGGCAAGAACCGGGATGATCCCCTCGTCCCGAGCCGCTGCCGGGCACGGAACTCGCCACTCATCTTCCTCGTTGTTTTGCCTGGCAATCTGCCAGTAATCCGCCCATGCATCGGGAGCAGCATCGTGCTCCCACCGCTGCTTCTTACTGGTGTCGCCCCCGCCCAAACCAGGGCTCAGGATCTGCGTCTTAGCTGCGGCTTTGGGCTGCCAATTTTGGCGCGGCTTCTCCCACTTGTTCCATCTGTGCCCCCAGCCGGCACTCGACGTCGCAGCATCTGATTTCCAGGACCGGCCTCCCGAGCCATGCTGGTCCCACTTGGCTGAATCTCCAGCCGACCAAGAATAACCCCCGCTCCAACCAGAGGTCGCCTTATTCCAGGTGTCCGTACCACCCGGTGTCCAGGTGTCCGTACCACCCGGTGTGGCATCCGATTCTTTTCGGGACTTCTTCTCCTTCTTCCGCCTGGACTTCTTGGCCTTTGAAGTCTTAGCACGTTTGCTAGACTTAGCCTTCTTGGCCTTGTGGCTCTTGCCCTTTTTGGCTTTCTTCACTTGCTTCCGGGGCTTCGACCTCTTGGCCGGTGACGAACTGTCCGAGACCTCAGTCTCCTCGGGGGAAGACTCGTACTCAGACGAATCAGTCGAAGACGTCATGGCTATCAACTAGACTCACAAAGAGAATGAGCCCGAGAACTGCAACAGCATCTTTGTGCATCAAGGGGAACTTCGCCCCAACTCACCATGGACTCTTGTCCCAATAGCATCCTGCTATGCTGTAGGCTCTCTGCCGACACACCTTTCTTCCGCCTCATAGGCACGATAAAGGCTCCGCCTCCGAAGCGCTGAAGTGCTAACTTTCGCCAACATCCGGCCTGAGCATACAGAAACTCGCGAAATCGAAATTACTTGCGACGCCATCTCTCCACATTCCGAAGTGGGGGTACAGCGATCTGGGGTCACGGCGAGACCCGAAGTCTGTTGGGGCACTCACGAGCATAATGACAAGGGCAGCGTATGCCCGCGCGAACCAGCATCTTCGCAACCGCGCGCGTCTTGCCAACTCGCGGCGGTAGGGGCCCCGGCCGCCAAACCGCAACGAAGGTGAACTCTCCAGAGGTCTGGAGCTCCTCAGAGGCTGTCTGCATGCCTGATGCAGCCACTGACACAATGTTCACCGCAGGCTCATTGGAGCTGCTCGCCTGTTGCCCGGTATTGAGTTCGACAATCGTTGCAGAATCCGAGCTCTTCCCACGCTTCTTGCCCACCTTCCTAGATGGCTTCTTGCGGGCTCGCCGGTCCCGTCGGTCCTTCTTTTTCTTCTTTTTGTCTGGTCGTTTCGTCTGGGCATGATCATCCAGGAAATCGAAAGCTGAGCTCCACGACGACATCTCAGCGTCAGTCTCTAAAACCTCTGCCGAATTATCATTATCCGACATCCCCGCTGAGTCGCTGGCAATTGCCTGAGATACAACGGCTGCAAACGTAGAGCAAAAAGGAAGACCTTTGCATTCTCGTCCTGCCTGACTGCTGCCCCTTGCATTCCGAGAGCAGCGCAAATACCAGCAAGTCCCCGCTCAGACTTTTATGCAGTGCGAACGAATCGCACAGGTGACAACGTGTTGGCCACTAGCACTGGAGCTGAAAAACTCAGGTGCCTGCCATCCTGAACCAATTGAAAAGAGCTCAGCTGAGGAAAACGACCAAAAAGCTCGAACAAGCGCTGTGACACTAAGTACTTCGCCTGATCAACAATATCTCTGCAACTCAGCTGAATATCGAGCGTGATGGTCATGTAGCTTGTTAGGCGGTCAGTAACGACCACCCGCATCCTGAAGATATACCCCGGAGGTGTGTCCCAGGGCAAGTCTGCCTCGCCCGCCTTTCTCTTCCTCTGAGCAAGAGGCAAGCTACGAAAAGTCTCACTACGGGAACTGAGGTTCCAGCAATCCTCGAGGAGCAAGCTCCGGATCAGGTTTGCGGCCAGCCCAAAACTTCCAATGAAGAAAGCAAGAGACGAGCATCTGCTGAGACTCCAACCGCGACACGCGATCAAAAAGGCGGTCAGCAAGCATGAGCTGCATTCTATGCAGCCGACAGATCTGAATCTGTAATCCACGCATGTGACGTAACACAAAGCTCTCAGTGGATGTAAACGAATCCGAGGGCGTTGGCGCCTCTGCTTCTTCTCCGGTCACTTCAGGTGATTGCATGCTCCTGAACCACAGGTCGGTGCTAAAATCACACACCGAAAACCAACAAAGCTCCAGCTAAGTGGGCAACTGCGGATCGCTCTGCAAGTTGAGCAGGATACTGTACGCTCAAGGCTCAAGTCACATTCAAGCAGAAGAATCACTTCATCAAGACCTCCCAGCGAGAGACTGAGGCACAAGCATCCGGCCCGCCCCCTATTTCAAATAAAACTCTCGCCCGATTCAGGGCTTCCTGCCCCTTCGAGAGGTCAAGCTGCAACGGATGAATGTATTCTTCAACTGGTTTACAGCATGTATAAATGAGGGTTCATGAAACGGCAGTGTAAAAGAAAAGCCCTAAAACAACAAATCAAAATTGGACTCAGTTCTCTGAGTCATTTTGTCATGTTGTTTTTCTTCGAACGATAAAGCCATATCTTCTGCAAGTGTTCAAAGAATGTAACTGGAATTTGAAGCGAATATGCTCCGAATTTGAATGGAGTTTGACGCATCTTACGAAACGTAAGAAATAACGCAAAGCTGACGCCTGCGCACATTAGAGTGCCGCTGGTACGCACGTGAGGGCGCACATTAAGACGCAAAGGTGACGCAATCGACGCATGCGGCGTCCGACTAGGCGCACATTAGGACGACGCAAAAGCCACGCAATGATGACGTTGGCGCACATTAGTGGACGCAGAGATGACGCAATCGACGCATTCGGCGCACATTAGGCGCGAATCATGACGCAAGCCAGACGCAATAGCCGATTTGACGCAAATTAGGGCGCTATATAGCAACGCAGGGCACGACCGTAAAGCTATTGGCGTAAAGTAGTCACGACCGACTGAGAAAGCAAGTAACACAACTGTCGTGCAAAACCTGCACTTCACAGCACCCTGCAGAAAAGCTGAGTATTCACGCAAGCTGTGCATCGAGCCTTGTACGCAAAGCAGTCGGGCGGCCCCCGAACGTAGTGGCTAAAGCTGGAAGCGAGCCGAGGCTATGACAGGCGAGGCTGGCAGAGCGCAGTAAAGGAGGAGGCATATGCACTGCACTCACATGCACTCCCTGCCTGCACCTGACCGAGATTTTCCCGCAAAAGCTCAAAGCTCCAAGCATGCCTTGTGTCTGCAAAGCTTCTTACCTGTAGGTGCAAAATGCACAACTTGAAAGACACTGACTATACACCCGCAGGCAGGTTTCAGATGCACTCCTTGGAAAGTAGTGCAACGGTCGAGCTCCGAGCAAACCACCGCCTTATGAATAGTCTTGGCAGTGATGATGAAAAGAAGCTCATCCGGAGTGCCTGACTCACCTGACGAGTGCAAAGGAAGTGCGGTTGCCTTCTCTGGGGCCACAACATCACCAGGGTCCGATGCCAAAGGAAAAGTAGCACCTGCCAGATCTGCTTCCACTTCGATGGTAGGGCAAAGCTGAGTGTTCTGCTCAAAAGCCGGTGGACCCCCTGGGATCGCAAAGCAGGGATCGGCAAAGCTGACAGACCGAGATTCCAGTGCCGGTTCCTGTAAAGGAACTTGTCCTCCACGATGCTGAGGACACAAAGGTCGCCAACCTTGTCGAATGGAAAGTAAAAGCTCTTTCTGTAAAGTTAACGCACCGAAAACATCATCTCTGCTGTAGAGGCGTGCGCTGCTATGCCTGTGGTGACCTTGCACAGCGCGCCGATCTTCGCTGATGCAAAGTTGATTTGCCCATGATAACAGCGTGGTTTTGCAGCTATGCAAAGTATAATTTTGCACCTGAGCACCTGAAAGCTTGTTCCAACGCGATAAAAGGTGACGTAAAGTAGCAAGGCCCTCCCCATATGTCATGGGAACGAACAACTCGTCGTCGCTCGCATGGAAAAGTAAGGCATCTGGCTCCACAGGGCCCGCCACCTTACCAATACGACACCATTCATTTTTCAGTAAAGCAAGCCATAGCTGGAACCATGGACCGAGAAGGCCCACTCCTACCACCCCAAAGGGAGCACCACGCACTGAGGTCTTGGTCCGGAAAGAAATTCCACGGCCCACCTCTTGTTCGTAAAGTACAGATCCCCACTTCACATGCATGGCATCGCTGAACCGCAGAGAGCCCCAAATCATAACCAGGAGCGCCCCGATGTTCAATTGCAGATCAGGAAAGGTATTTGAAAGCAGGCAAAACTCCAGGTAAGCAACAAAATCCAGAGGCAAAGGCACTGACTCTCGGCGATCTGCTTCGTTACGTTGGTGAGCCACCGAATGAAAAAGGCCTGTGTAAAGATCCGGAAAGGAAATGGTGGCCACCTTGACCATCCACCTCAGAGCCTTCAACGTATTGAGGGGAAAGCATGACGTGGGAACTTCTTCTTCATCCTCAGGGGACCGGTAAAGCTGTATCATAACATCATAGGCTTGCACCTGGGAGATCCGAGATGCATCAAAGCCCAGATCCTGAAGCAAAGCAAAGTACTGCAAGCAACTCTGCACATACCTGACCAATGTGGTATCCGCCACGGACGCCACAAGCTGAGCTAGTAAAGCTTCTGAGGATGCCGACTCCAAGATTTCCTGCAAAGCAGAGCTCAAAGGTGCAAGGAGCAAAACCAGCTGGCGCCACAAAAGAAGTCCCTTGGCGCGGAGCTTTGCATGCACATCGTTCTGCAAAGTAACCCGTGCTGTCGAGGTTGCGGGCCGGGCTGGCAAAGCAAATTTGCCAGGCTGTACTTTGGGTGGTTCTGGAGGAAATGCATATTCGGCTGAGGAAGCAAAAGCGTCTGCCGCCTGAAGGAGGTTGTCCACCACAGGGTCACTCAAAGCTGAACTGCCAGCCTCGTCCCAAGTGCCTGAAAAGCAGGAGACCGACGAAGGAGGCCTGGATTCTGAGGGGAAGACCGCGTAATCACGAGCAGAACGAAAAGCAGGTCTGTCTCTTGCGTCCTGTGAAGACCGCAGCGTAAAAGCAGAGCGCTGGGAGAAAAAAGGGTCGAGCTTTGGGCACATCACCCCGAGACGGCGCCGTAGCCGCTGGAGAAGACCTGTCCACCAGTGGAAAGCATGGTCGAGGCCGAGGCTTCCACTTGGGTGCCGCAGGCACCGTCGGCAAAGTAGAAGCACCTGGGTTCCAGGATGATGGTACCGGCAAATCAAACGCCGAAGTGGCCTCCACCACAGCAAAGGAACCATCACCTGAAGAAAGTGTCAAAGCAGGGCTGGAATCATCCTTACCGTCTTCCCGCTCCATGGGAGCGTCTTGTAAAGAAGCCTCCTCAGGTTGTCGCCTGTAACGTTTCACACGAAAGCGACTATCATCGGAAGCATCTGCCATGTCTCAATCAAGGGAATCCAGAAAAGAATCACCGTCTGTACGCTCCGGTTTTTTTACGACCGTCATGCGCCACCAATGCTGTTATGGTAAAAGGAAAATCGTCGTGCAAAGCGCGTAGGCGCTGCCGCCAAGCGAGCGGAGTAGCTGGGGTATTTCTGAAGGTACTGCTTCAGACCCAAGAAGTCTACTCTTAACTGGGAGGAGTAGCCGGGCTGTGTTTTGACGTCCTGTTGGAAGAACTCCAAAGCTTTATCCGATACTAATCCTAGCCAGTGCGGGGGGGGAGGACCACGTTTGCTGTCCTTTTGAATGCCTACTCTATCTTTGTAACCTGGGGAGAAGATTACGTGATGAATAGGGTCATTGTGAGGAGTAGCCAGGCTGGTAGTGAGCTGTTGTAGCTGCTCCTGTAGTATTATTTGGGATGGGAGAATGGGCTGTTCCGCTTTTAGCCAAACTGCTTTGTTGGTGATTCTGGAGTAATATGCTGCTTTTATGCCTACCACTTTAATTTACTCAGTTGTTCTTCCGATTGAGCAGAAACGGCAGCGCTAAAATAAAATGATTCGTGAATCTATTTGCAGCGAACCGATATACATATATGTATTGCATAAATTCCTTCAGGAAGCCACACTCGCACTGTCTTCATTTTCACCGGTGACATCGGGCAAGACTCCGGTAACGACATGCTCAACCGCGGCTGCGACTGAGACATGTCGTATGTGCAAGCGAGGTTAGGCAGCGGGGACTCAGCAGTCCACACGCACACAAGCTACGGCAGGCATAGTCACCCCGCTACGGCAGGCAAAGTCACCCCTCAAGGGACTAGACAGTCCAGATGCCCACGGTGGAGCATTGCAATGGAAACACCGCCTGAGAGGCCCAAGGCAAGAGGAAGCAAGCAGGGGCAGATTCTCAAGTCGACAAGCTGGAGACAACCAGCGGCCCAAGAAGCACTGTAACAAGGGTTTGCGTCATTATCACTGGGCGGGCGGGCGGGACAAAAATTTCTGCCCATGCCCATGTTGCATGCTGTTTTCACTTGCTCCCTTGAGCATGACCTCGCGGCGGTGCACACAAGTAATCACATGCTCGGCTGCACACAAGAAGTGTTCAAAGCTTGCAAGAGAAAATCACTTTGCAAATTTTCTTTCCAACTCAATCGGAAGAAGTAAAACTAACCTAGTTTTACAAGACAACCACGAAAATTAAAGCGCTATCAACCCGTTGACCGCTAGCTTAATTTACTCAGTTGTTCTTCCGATTGAGCAGAAACGGCAGCGCTAAAATAAAATGATTCGTGAATCTATTTGCAGCGAACCGATATACATATATGTATTTCAAAAATTCCTTCAGGAAGCCACACTCGCACTGTCTTCATTTTCACTGGTGACATCGGGCAAGACTCCGGTAACGACATGCTCAACCGCGGCTGCGATTGAGACATGTCGTATGTGCAAGCGAGGTTAGGCAGCGGGGACTCAGCAGTCCACACGCACACAAGCTACGGCAGGCATAGTCACCCCTAATTAACCGCGGTCCTAAGCAAGAATGTCATCAAGCGTTTTTGCAACCGGAGTCGCCTTGATAATCCCTGCCTTTCCTTTCAAGACTTTAACTAGCTTTCTAGACAAAATGTCAGAGGGATTCGAAGGACTCGGAACACGGGATATCCAAGTGTTTAGCCCTGCCATGTCTTCCACCGAGAGGAGTAACTCGATGAGCATCTTGCCTGTGTCGTTTCTTGCCCTCCCCGAAATGCACACGTCTCGAGCGCTATTGTTATCCACGTAGGCAACTAATGCATGATGCATGACGCGCTTGCGCCAAAGCACTATTGCAGCAATGTACGCTACAAGTTCCGCCTCGAAGATGATGGTTTTCTTCGTGGCGCTGCCAAGCTTCTCCATTTGTTTCTGGTCCAGTTCATACGAGAAGAAACTCAGCATCTTGCCCTCATGATCATAAAGCACGCCGCCTATGCCGCACTTGGGGCCCTGAGCGCCTGCCTCGTAAGCGGCGTCGGTGAAGATGTATCGCGGGGTGTGGGCTGGCCTCGCCAGCACACGTGGCTTTGAGTCCCTGAGAAGCAGTGCATATCGATTCAAGGCAACAAGAGCGTCCTGTCCAAGTTCCGCTTGGCCCAACGCGATATGTGCATCCAACTCCTTGAGGCAGAGCTTGCTGGCACGGCCAAAAACTTGGCCGTCGGCAAATTGTAGCCGACCCCTGAGCCGCTGTGCATCTTTGTTACGCAGCTCCTTGCTTTTAACTGCATGGGTAAGTGCAGTTAGGAGTTCTTGCACCCTGCAGTCAGTGTTCCCAACCTCCACACGCCCGCTGCTGAAATGTTCCAAGTTAAACCTCACCCCTAATGATTCGAACGTGCTGCCAAACTCCTGTGCCTTCTTCCCCTCCTCTGCGAACTGCCACCCTAAGAGTCTAAAGAAACGGGGAATGTGATCGGCAGTGAAGACGCAATCCGATTGTCTTGCTAGCGTGGGGAAGTCGTCAAAGTAGCACGTCCATAAGAAGCCCAGGTGGCACCCGAGCGTCCAGACTGAATGCACTGTCCTGAGAAAGGAGTGCACACTTCTCACCGCTCCGAAGGGTAAGGCTTTAAGGCGATGCACTGAAGGTCGACCTGACTGCTCATCATGGAAAGCTACGTATGCATCCTTTAGGGCATCCTTACTTAGGCCAAGCTGGCGGTAAGCGGACTTAAGGTCATAACTTCGGCCTTTAAGGTTATCCCTAGGGAAGGATTCCAAGCATTGCAGCATCAAGCATGCCAGCACGTCTGTCGTGTGCGGTTGCGGCGATTCGCACGCCTGCACGGCTGCATTCACGGAGCTCCCAGACAAGTCATCTATGAGTCGCACCTTTTGAGATTCGCCGGAACCTTGCGATAACCCAAACCTTCTACTGACTAAGGCCTCATCCTCCAAATCACTAGGATTGATCGGCCCTTCTAACCAACCCTTGTCATGCTCCTCGGCTGTTTTGCGTTTCACCTCCCGGTCTAGCTCGCCTTGGGATCGCACCGACTCCAAGACGTGCTTCCTGGATTGCGATGCTTTGCGGTGGACCTCTTGCGGTGATGCCGCAGCAGGCTTGAACACTTGGGGAAACAATCCTGTGAGTGGCACCTGACCCACCAAGTCTGTGCCGTTGATCATTTCTTCGACAACTTCCATGTCCTCGTAGCCGATGTCCTGCAAGAGCTCTTTCCACAAGAGGATTTTCTTAGACCCTAAGATGGCCCTTAGGTGGTCTGGCATCTCGGCTTTGAGTGCCTCCTCACTCTCCTCCAAGGCTGCTGCCCTGGCTTCCCACTTCTCAAACCACCTTTCCCTGAACTCAAGTAATTCTTTAGAAGACAACGATCGGTTGATTTCCACAGCCTTCTGAAGTGCCCGCGGCAGAGGAATCCTCAACAGTTTAGGGTGTCCCGCTTTGCATGCGGCCTGAACAAAAGCCTCGGGGGAATAGGGCACGCCCCACGCCTGTTCAAGAGTAGGCTCAGTAGAGTTCGGATTCACAGCAGAATCGTTGACCCCCGAATCGCCGACCCCCTCTTTAACCGAAAGTGGTACAGTTCGAAGAAGTTGCGCATTGGCGGGAATGCGGCGCACAGAAGCAGAACAGGCCTCGGGCAGATCCCACGGTTGGGCTAGGCGGCCCATGGGGGCGCACGGAGCAGCATCGAGGGCCGTTTTCGGGCCACGAACCAGCAGGACAGTGCAATGCTCTGGCACGAGAGCGGGAAACTTAGCCGCAGCAGGCTGAGGTCCAGACGCGGCGCGGCAAGCAGACAGCAAGCTAGCTGGCTTGGGCAAGGTTTGGGATGGCTGCCAGCCAGTATGCACCAAATGAGTTGCCACACAATGGGCGATTGCGGCCGCCAGATGCGGCGGGTAAGCTGTCTCGGCTTTGGTTGCGAAGCCGTTGGGAGTGAGGCCCCAGGGCTCATGGTGATGTTCCGGAGACTGGCCCGGGCAAGAGCGCTGCAGCGATGAGAAGACATCATGGGTGGCCGCCAAGGTTGTCCGTTTCGGGCGGGAGCCCCCGAACATGCAGTGGTCGAAGGAGGTGCGGAAAGGGCACAGGTGCGCTATGGCTTGGAAAGGCGTGGTGGCCCAGAACCACGACCGGTGCGGATTCTCGCACACGAAAAGCACATCCCGACGGTGGCATTCCAGAGCAACCTTGGCCAAGAAGGCATACAAGACATTGGCGGCCTCAACTCGTTGTTTATCTGAACCCTGAAGGTCTGGCAAACCGTCGGGAAACTCAGAGGAGCGCAGAGGCGGTGGGCCTGGGATTGGCACGCCTGAAGCATCGTAGACTGGGATGTCTCGTGCACGGCTGGAAGTACCACAAGGTGGGGCTGCTACCACAGCCGATAGCAGCGGATTGCACAACCAAAACGTGGCCAGATCCTGGCCATCCTGAGTGGTGAGGTCTGCGATCAAGGGAGCACACGCTGCAGATTCAACATGTTTGTGGTCGATTCCGTGGGCTGTAACTCCTAGGCGGCGGAGGCAAGCTGTAACACGAGAAGTGCCAGAGAACAGCTCGAACACGACGGGCGTGGCTGGTGCCTTGAAGATTGGGCGCGGTACTGGCACCATGGTTCCTTGCTGAATGACGTCACCTGTGGCTAGGTCGGGGGGGCTAAACCCTAGGGAGACCAACGCTGAATGATCAGCTTCGGACAGGGCCGCGAAATCGCGGACTACAAACCCGGCTAAAACTACCCGGTAACCACTCCAAGGCATGGTGGCAT